AAAAAAAAAAAAAAAAGTCGCCAGCAGGTCAAGGCTGCGGTGGCCATGAGCATACCACTGTACTCCAACCTAGGCCACAGAGTGGGACTCCAACTAAAAAACAAACAAACAAACAAACTTTTAATTTTATCCCTGACTTTTATTATGCCAGTTGGAAGATTTTTTTTTTTTTTGGCAAGATTTTTTTTTTTTGCAAGTCTTTGTAAATCTGAGAATCAAATGAAAAAAAAAAACAAAACCGTAGTTTTCCCATCATTAACAAATTAATGTAAATGTGGTAACCTTGGTAATTTTGTGCTATTTTCTTTTTCTTTTTCTGAGTTGGAGTCTCACTCCCTCGCCCAGGCTGTAGTGCAGAGGCACGCTCCTGGACACCGCAATCTCAACCTGCTGGGCTCAGGTGATCCTTTCGCCACAGCCTTCCAAATAGCCGGAACTACAGGCGTGCCTAATTTTTTATTTATTGTAGAGATGAGGTCTCGCCAAGTTGCCTGGGTGGGTCTCAAACCCGCAGGCTCAGGCAATCCACTCGCCTCGGCCTCCCAAAATGCTGGGATCACAGGTTAAGCCACCGAGCCCAGCCTGTGCTATTTTCTTTTAAGCACAGGTGACCCTTGAACAACGTAATTTGAATTGCATGGGTCTACTTATAAGTGGATTTTTTTTTTTTTTTTTTTGAGTTGGAGTCTCACTCTGTCGTCCAGACTGGAGTGCAGTGGCCGCTCCCGGCCACCGCAGCCTCGGCCTGCTGGGCTCCAGCGATCCTTCCGCCTCAGCCTTCCGTATAGCCGGAATTACAGGCATGCGCCACCACACCCAGCTGATTTTTTGATTTTATTGTAGAGATGAGGTCTCACTGCCCAGGCGGGTCTCGAACCCGCGGGCTCAGGCAATTCACTCACCTCAGCCTCCCAAAGGCGCAGGATTACAGGCTGAGCCACCGAGCCTGGCTTATAAGTGGATATTTTTTCAACCAAACATGAATCAAAATTAACAGGGTTCATGGGATGTGAAAACTGCATATAAGAAGGCCCAATTCTTCCTGTACGTGGTTTCTACGGGGCCTACTGCAGGACTTGAGGGTGGGCAGATTTTGATGTAAGTTGGGGTCCTGGAACCAATTCCCTCAGTATATCTAGGGATGACTATACTTGTTATTTTTTTGAATGTCCTCAAGTTTGACTTCCTTTCACAACTTGCAAGGAAACTTTTATTTACTTTTCTAAATGCTTCTGTCTCTGAGTCTTCTTTTGACTATATATATTGGTCTTTATGTGCATAAAAAGCATCTAGAAAGAAATACCGGTAACTATAATGAAGATACTAGGGAAATAAGATGAGAAGGAATTAGGAGAAAGAGACATGAATAGGAGGGACCCTTTTTTTTTTTTTTTTAAGTTGGAGTCTCACTCTGTCACCCAGACTGGAGTGCAGTGGCTGCTTCTGGCCACCGCAGCCTTGACCTGCTGGGCTCCAGCGATCCTTTTGCCTCAGCCTTCCAAGTAGCTGGAACTACAGGCGTGCGCTACCACACCCGGCTCATTTTGATTTATTGTAGAGATGAGGTCTCGCCAACTTGCCCAGGCGGGTCACGAACCCGCGGGCTCAGGCAATCCACTCACCTCAGCCTCCCAAAGGCACGGGATTACAGGCTGAGCCACCGAGCCTGGCTAGGAGGGACACTTTCATTACATATTTCTTATTTTTTTATTTTGAACTGTAACTATTACCTATGCAAAAATAAATACACTTAAAATAAAATAAAGACTAAATTTGATTTCAATTATTTTGTTTGCTCGACTTAAGTTGGAAGACATTTTATTTTCATCATAATTAGATGAATAAGTGTTTTATTCTGACATGTGATTGTTTTGACAACTAATACATGTATATAAATTATAGCAAATCACAATTTTTTTTTTTTATTGTAGAGGTAAGGTTTCACCAGGTTGCCCAGGCTGGTCTTGAACCCTTGGGCTCAGGCAATCCTCTCACCTCGGCCTCCCAAAGTGCTGGGACTATAGGCGTGAGCCACTGCACCTGGCCCACAAAATGTTTTATTATCTGTCAGTACACTAAGTTTATCACAAAAACCTGCATATCAGGACCTCTCTCACCTCAGGGTGATTGAGTTCTCCTTCTTCTTCCTCATAGGGACCACCAACAATGAATGCATCAGGAATGTTATTAGCGCCTGGAGCCAGAATGTTGGCAATAGGCCATTTTTTCGGCCGAGGAACAGGTTCTTTTTCACCTCCAAGTTTCAGAATTCCATTCTTGAATAAAATGGGATAGTCTTTCTACAGAAATAAACACCATATGTCAGGAAAAATTCCAAAGGACCTTGAAATGGACAAAAAGATAACTGAAGTGTCTTTTAATGAAATGCTCAGTGTTGTCAAACATATCCTTCACTACAGAGGCATCTGTGCCCCTTTGTTGTCTTTGTGCTATTTTACATCTCTGTAATTTATAGAAAATGATAATAATGTGAATTACTCTTATCCATAAAAATGCAAATATATTTTGTCCATTGGCTATGTAATTCATTATTGACCTGGGACTACTGACAAGTTTTGAATTATTAGCAAATTAATTTCAGCATACCTGATGTCTATATATGGACATATATAGATTTAAATTCTCCTTTGAACTGGTTTTCACATTTTACTTATTCCCTAATTAGTTAAATATTTGATCAAACTCTTTGTCATTTATGTTTATATGAGAGTCATGTTTATACCTGTTTAAAAATTATCCCTTTAAAAAAACTAAAATCTGACAGAGATAAAAATATAGGCATTTTCATCTTAAAATTTATCTAAAATATATCTGCAATGCAAAATTGGTAAAAGATATAAATAGGCAATTTATGGAAGGGCAAATTAGGAAGTTCAACTTTTAAATCAAAACATGCTATATATCATTTATAATCAATGAAATGTATATTAAAACAATGAAATACCATTTTAAACCACATATTGACAAAAGCAAAATCTGACAACATCAAGTATTAGCAAATATTGTGAATGGAAACAATATTCTTATACCTAGTAGATAGAAATGTAATTGGCACAACTGTGAAAAGCAATTTTGCAGCCTCTGGTAAAACTGAAAATCTACATACTATAAACTCAGCAATTCTAATTCTTAAGATTAAGCTGAAAAACTTTCTGTGAAGGGGTACTTCTGGAGTAAGAACTTCTGAAACCTCTGAAAATCCACTCCTCCATAACAATAAGAACATGGGAATAATAAATGATTCTAAATTTAAAAAAAAAAGAACACGGACAAGAATTGTAAAAATTTAGGTTGCCAAGATTATTCAATGGGGAAAGATAGCTTTTTCTTAAGAGCTGAAACTATAGAAGCCTTAGAAGAAAACACAGGAGGAAAACTTCATGACACTGAATTTGGCAGTGATTTCTTGGGCTTGAAACCAAAAGCACAAAGCAACAAGAGTAAAAATAGACAAATGTAACTTCATAAAAATTAAAAACTTTTGTTTATCAAAGGACACTATCAATAGAGTAGAAAGGAAACCCTTAGAAAGGAAGAAAATAATCGCAAATCACATATCTGAGAAGGGATTAATAACCAGAATATAGAGAACGCCTATAACTCAACAACAACAAAAACTCTCATTCAAAAATGGGCAAAATTTTTCTAAGTGAACTAACAGAAACCAAAAACTGAATGCCACATGTCCTCACTTACAAGTGGGAGCTAAACTCTGGGTACACACAGGCATAAGAACAGAAGCAAAAGACACTGAGAACTCTTAAGTGGAGGGAGGAGGGGAAGGGGACTAAGTGCTGAAAAACACTACCCATTTGGTACCTGGCTCACCACCTGGGTGATGGGCACAATAGAAGCCCAAACCTCATCATCACTCGATATACTCATGTATCAATCCTGTACATGTACCCCTTGAATCTAAAATAAAATAACAAAAATAGGCAAAGAATTTGAATAGATATTTACTCAAAGATAATATATAAATGGCCAATAAGCACGTAAAAAGATTATCAGCTGGGCATGGTGTCTCATGCCTGTAGTCCCAGCACTTTGGAAGGCCAAAGAGGATGAGTTGCTTGAGTCCAGGAGTTTGAGACCAGCCCAGGCAACATGGCAAGACCTCGTCTCTACAAAAATATTTTTTTAAAAAGCAGCTGGCTGTAGTGGCACATGCCTGTAGCTCCAGTTACTGGAGAAGCTGAGGCAGAAGGATTGCCTGAGTCCAGGAGGTTGAGGCTGCAGTGAGCCACTTCACTCGAGTCTGGGCGACAGAGTGAGACCCTGTCTTAAAAAAAAAAAGAAAAAGAAAAAAGATTCTCAAATATCATTAGTTACTAGGGAAATTAAACCACAACAAGATGCCACTTCATAATTATTAGGTTGGCTGTCATCAAAACAAAACAAAACAAAAAGGCAAATGACAAATGTTGGCTAGAAGTGGAGAAATTAGAACACTTGTGCACTGCTGGTAGGAATGTAAAATGGTGCAGCCATTATGAAAAACAGTATGGACGTTCCTCAAAAAATAGAATTACCATATGCTATAGTTTAAATACATCCCCAAAGTGCATGTCTTGGAAATTTATTTCCCATTGCAACAGTGTTGAGAGGTGGGATTGAGAGGTGATTAGGTCATGAGAGCCCTAGCATCATGAATGGATTAATGCCATTATTGCCATAGTGGGTTCCTGATAAAAGGATGAGTTTAACCTCTTCCTCTCCCTCTCTTGCATGCTATTTTGCCTTTCCACCTTCCACTACGGGATGGCACAGCATGAAGGCCCTCAGCAGAGGCAGGCCCCTTGACCTTGGACTTCCCATCTTCTACATATGTAAGAAATAAATTTTATTTTCTTTATAAATTACCCAGTCTGTGATATTCTAAAAAAGTAGCAGAAGCTGGGCTTGGTGGCTCAGCCTGTAATCCCAGCACTTTGGGAGGCCGAGGCGATTGGATTGCCTGAGCCCACGGGTGTGAGACCAGCCCGGGCAACTTGATGAGACCATGTCTCTACAATAAATAAATTAAAAAAAAAAAGAATTTGAATAGATATTTACTCAAAGATAATCTATAAATGACCAATAAGCACATAAAAGATGTGCTTTTATTCCCTCACTAATTAGTTAAATATTTGATCAAACTAATTAGTGAGGGAATAAGTAAAAAAAAAAAAAAAAAAATAGCCGGGTGTGGTGGTACGCCTGTAGTTTCAGCTACTTGGAAGGCTGAGGAGGAAGGATTGCCAGAGCCCACAAGGTCGACGCTGGGGTGGCCGTGAGTGGGCCACTGTACTCAGCCTGGGCGTCAGAGTGACTCAAAAAAAAAAAAAAAAAAAAAAGAAAAAAATTGACTGATACCATATGATCCAGCAATTCTACTTCTGTGTATATACACAAAAGAATGGAAAACAGGGATACACAATTTCATTTTACGAACGCAGAGAGAAAGATGAAATGAGGCCACTGGATCTGGACTCAGACTAAAAGAGAAGTTAACATTTACTGGAGGATCTTGAAAACAAAGAGCAAAACTCTGCTTTATTAGTCAAAAGAGAAATCAACTCTTAAGCTTGAGAAAAATATAATTGAAAAGTTTTATGTTTTTTGAGATGAAGTCTCACTCTGTCGCCCAGGCTGAGTGCAGTGGCACACTCACGGACACCCCAGCATTGACCTGCTGGTCTCCGGCGATCCTTCTGCCTCAGCCTTCCAAGTAGCCAGAACTACAGGTGTGTGCTGCCATGCCCGGCTAATAAAAGTTGTTTTAATAAGTATGTGTGGCTGGGCATGGTGGCCTACGCCTGTAATCCCAGCACACTGGGAGGCCAAGGCAAAAGGATCACTTATCACTTGAACCTAGGAGTCAGAACCAGCCTGGGAAACATAGTGAGACCTCCTCTCTAAAAAAATTTTTTTTTAATTAGCCAGGTATAGTGGCCCGTGCTTGTAGTCCCAGCTACTCCAGAGGCTGATGCAGAAGGATCACTTGAGCCCAGGAGTTGAAGGCTGTGGTGAGCCGTGATCATGCCACTGCATTCCAGCCTGGGCAACAGAGTGAGACTCTGACAATAAAAGGAAATAAAAATGGTATGTGAATTAAAGTATGAAGACTCAGAGATTCATGGAATACAATCATGTCCTTTAGAGTCTATTAATTAATATGTTTAAAGTCCAGTATAAAGTGTAAGATTTGTTTGGAGAAAACTTAAATGAGACTGAGGACATAAATGATGTGGGTCAATGGGAAGGTATTCTCTGTCTACATAGGAAGGTTAAGATGATAATTCTTTCTAAATTAATCTATAAATTTAATACAATCTCAATAAAAATACCAGATAGGATTCTTTTTTAGGATAAGCTGATCGTCAAATTCATATGGAAAAATAAGATGAAAACCCAGGAAAATTCTTGAAGAATTATCAAAGAGAATGAGTTCTACCAGATATTAAGCATTTAATAAAACAGTGTGGAATTGATGAATGAAGCAGCAGAAAGATTAATGGAACAGAACAGAGAGTTTAGAAAGGGACCCAAATACATAAGGGAAATTAGTATATTAAAAAGGTGGCATTGCATATCCATGGAGAAAAGAGGGATTATTAAATGACAGGCTTTAGAAAAACTGGGTACCCATTTAAAGAAAAAATAGTTAAAGCACACCTTATTCCTTATGCTGAATAAGTTTAACATTAAAGAAGGAAAGGAATAAAGAAAGGGAGGAAAGCAAAAAGAAACAATCTACAAAAGTCTAGAAGAACTTATAGGAAAGTTTTAAAAAAATCCAAGCATGAGGAAGGTACAAATATGACATAAAACCCAGGATTAGAAAAGAAAAAAATAATTAAATTTAACCACATAAAATGAAACAAGAAGTCTTGATGAAATAAGATACCTAAAAACAAAGCCAAAGTCAACACACTGGAAAAATTGTTTATAACTCACCTCCCAGCAAAAGGGCTAATTCCCTTAATACATAAAGACTCTTACAAATCAATAGGAAGATGTCTCACAAAATACAATAATATCTTTTAAGTCATGTAAAATACCCATGGCTGAGCACAGCGCTCATGCCCATAATCTTAGCACTTTGGGAGGGCAAGGTGAGAAGACTGCTTGAACCTTAGGAGTTCAAGACCAGCCTAGGCAACATAGCAAGACCTCATCTTTACAAAAAACTCAGAAAATTAATGGGGCAGGGTGGCTCCTGCCTGTAATCCCAGCTACTCAAGAGGCTGAGGTGAGAGGATTGAACCCAGGAGGCTGAGGCTGCAATAAGCCATGATTGTGCCACTGCACTCAAGCCTGAGCGACACAGTGAGACCCTGACTCAAAAATAAAATAAAATACTCTAGAAAAAAACAAAATCTCAGCCATTAGCAGAGCAAAACTTTGCATAAAATCATAGGTAAGGAAGAGAGGGCCATATGAATACAGACATGTTTGACTCTATAAATATCTGGCAGTAAGGCTTTACCTCTCCAAGTGATGGAACTTGCAAACCAGCCATGTAGTTCTGCAGGGGACCTACTGGAGTGAAGGATTCAGGCACAGAGTAGGCAGCTTCCAACGTGACCTTCAGGAGATTGCCTCCTAATATCTGGGCTGTGGTCAGTAAGGGATCTGCCACAAACACTTTAACTTCAAGACTGCTCTGCTGTAAAGGATAAAAATCATACAGTATTTTGAAAATTGCCAGAGGCTCTCTCTCTCCTTTTTTTTTGCATTATCTCATTTGAATCTCACAGAACTGTTCAAGAAAAGAAGGCGAGGCTTAATTAATTCCAATGAGAAGACTGAAATAACTTTCTCTAGGTCTCAAGAGTTGGAGATAGAGTCAAGAAGAAATCTTAATGCTAAAATAGAATTATGCTGATAGTGTGTATACAAATATGTATAGAAGAGAAATTGGAAGATTCTGTTTTGAAATGTCAAAAGTAGTTACACATGAATGAGATTGGGTGCTTTTTTCTGCTAGTCTATGTTTTATGATTATTTTTATAATTTTTTGTTCTTTTGTTTCTGTTGCCCAGGCTGGGGTGCAGTGGCACGCTCACAACCCCTGCAGCCTCAACCTGCTGGGCTTAGGTGATCCTTCCACTTTAGCCTTCCAAGTAGCTGGAACCACAGGCATTAACCACCATGCCTGGTCAATTTCTTGACTTACTGTAGAGACACAGTCTCGCCAAGTTGCCCAAGCTGGTCTTGAACCCCTAGACTCAGGCAGTTCTCTCGCCTCTGCTTCCCAAAGTGTTGGGACTACAGGCGTGAGCCATTGCTCCTGGCTATTTTTATAATTTAAATGTAGTGCTTTGTAACAAGAAAATATTTTCTCAAATACATATGTATATATCATATAAGTAGGCATAAGATGTGGGTATCTCTGACATTTTCACACAGAATACAATACAAAGTAGGTTTAAAATGTGTACTGATTGCTAATTTATGATAAGCACTTTAATACAGCACTTGAGATATAAAGATGAAGAAGACATGGTCTCTTTTATCACAGAACTCATGCTATAGACCTGTGATTTATGATAAATACTATAATAGAAACCTGTACAAAATGTTATAGTCAAGGAACACCAAAGAGGAAGTGAATAATTAATTATTGGTATGGGGTGGAGTAAGAGATAGTGATAATCTGAGTTGACTTTTACATGATGAATAGGAATTTGCAACCTGGATAAGCAGAGGAAAGAAAGACAAAATAATGCCGGAAAGACAGTTTACGTAAAGAGGGATTAAAACAGTATGGTGTATTCAGTTCAGGTATAAGTAAATAGTACAGGTATAAGTAAGTAGTTCAGGATTCTAGATCATAAAGTACCAGGAGAGAAGTGCAGGGAGATCAGGTTGGAGTGGGAGGCTCCCTTTATATAGGATGTTGTATGCCTGCTAAGGAATCTGGACCTTAATATGTAAGCAGTGGGCAAATCCCTGAAACAAGCAGTAATAAGCAGGGGAAGAGACATAGTCAGATTTATCTTTAGGTCACTGTGCAAGCCATAGGAAGGCTGAACCGGAGAGAGGCAAGGGTAGGTATAAGGCTACTTGTAACAGTCCAGGTCAATGATGATGAGGCAATAAAGAGTAAGAAATCTAAAGACACTCTGGAGACAGAAAGGTTAGATTTGGTGAAAGGCAGATTTGTGGAGCACTGGTTTGTGTAGTTTGGGTCCAAGAGAGTAGTCATGAATGTATTTAGGTTCTGTGTACGACTTCAGAAAGGGTGATGCCACTAGTCAAAATAATAAAGACCCAAGGAAGAGTAGGTTTCAGAGAAGATGCTGAGTTCAGTTTTGGAGCTTTGAGTTGTAGAAGCCTATGGGATATCATTATAGAGAAGTCCAATAGGTTCTTGCAAAGTCTGACATTCTGGAATTCAGGAAAGGGATCTGGGTTGGAACTGTTGAGTTAGAAGTCTTCAATGAGACCATTAAGCCCAAGAGTGAATTAGGTATTTTCATACTATTGGATCCATCAGGACATAGCTCCAGAGGTATTTCCATGGTTAAGCCTTCCTTACATTGACCCCTGGGCAAAGTAACTGATACTTTCTCTGCGACCACATACCCCACCCACTCACCATTTAATCACACTGGGTTATAATAATTCATGATAAGTAGATTGTACACTTTTCAAAATAGGACATTGCCTTATTTATCTTTGTTTCCCAGAATCTAGCACTATGTGTGCTGTAAAAATACAATGCCCAATGATTTAGACTCAGTTGAACTGAACCTTAATAGCAGGCAGATTTGTGAAGTTGAATGGCAGGCTGAAATGCTGAGGGTTAAAATTCTGATTACCTTACCACTTGATCGAGGAATTTCTAAGGGTGAACCCTGCACAGGGTGCAATGGGACTGTTGTTTCAAATGAACTCTCTCCTGCAAAAAAGAAGGCCAAATTGTGCCAAATAAGAAAGAATAAGTTAGGCAGAAATAAATGTGCCCATTTTTCAGATTCATTAATACTGGGTTTTGTACTTCTCTGGAGCTAAATTTTATGAGCTTTGTTATTTCTGTGTTGGGCAAATCACACATCTGACCTTCCAGTAAGGGAAGAAGGTCTACCACAGCTTGACCAAGAATTAAAGTCTTCTCTTCTTTCTGTTTCTTTTCCTTTGGCAAAACTTCAGTCATGGTTACTAGAAAAAAAAACAAACAAAATGAGAATATTTTAAACTCATCCAAGCAAAGCATCAATGAAGATATTTTAAGTTAAGGAAAATGAACTTGAAGCTACAGAAGGCACCAACGTCAGTGAATTCTGGTGGAAAATACTGAACTACCTCAGTGACTTTTGAACTTTTTGCCTGCAAGTTATAATAAATGAATTTTCTTATCCACTCGCCTCGGCCTCCCAAAGTGCTGGGATTATAGGTTGAGCCACTGAGACTGGACTGTAGCTTGTCTTTTATAGCTGCTTAGGAAAAAAGTATTTTTTTTTCTGTGAAGCCTATGAAATACTTAGGCTTCACTATTCTATAAGTAATTAATTCTATTATTTCTTATAAGACATATGATTTAATTTTTATATACACATTTTATATAGCTGGAATTTTGGGGGTGTAATTTTGAGACATTGGTTACATATTTTTACCCAGGTGTCCCCACACCATTGATTACATAATCCATCTTTTGCCCCACTGATCTGACATGTCATCTTAATCATATGCTCACCTACTAGAAGTACTGATGACTACATCTGAACCTTCTAGCTTGTCCCAATGATCTGTAGATCTATACAAGGGCCACTACTACATTGTTTTATTGTGGTTTTATACTTTGCTTTTCTATTATTATTATGTAAGACTAATAACCCCTCTTTTAAGAATTTCCTAGGCTAGGCTCAGTGGCTCAGCCTGTAATCCTAGCACTTTGGAAGGCTGAGGCAAGTGGATTGCCTGAACTGGAGGGTTCGAGACCAGTCCGTGCAACTTGGCGAGACCTCATCTCTACAATAAAAATCAAAAATTAGCTAGGCATGGTAGCGCACCTGTAATTCCGGCTACTTGGAAGGCTGAGGTGGAAGGATTGCCGGAGCTCAGCAGGTCAACGCTGGGATGGCCACAAGTGTGCCACTGCATCCCAGTCTGGGCGACAGAGTGAGACTCCCACTCAAAAAAAAAAAAAAAAAAAGAATTTCCTGATTATCTTCCATTAAAAACTTTTTTCTATAGAAACTCTGAAATTTAAAAATGTCAGCTGATATATAGAGAGCACATTAAATTCATAGATAAACTTAGGAAAAATGACATCTTTATAATAGTGAACACTCCTGTCTAAGGAACCATGGTATGCCTTTCTTTTTGTTCAACCTCATGCCCTTCAGCAACATTTTCTTTACAGTCTGTTTGAATAAGGGTCCAAATACTAATTACACATTGTAATTATCCAACGTCTCTTAAGCCTCTTTTACTCTATAGGTTCCCGTTCCGTCTCTTTAGATTTTTCCCCCTTACATTTTTCCAAGAGATTGTCCATTAATCTAAGTTTTCTTTTTTTTTTTTTTTTTT